AGAGGATAAGAAACAAAAAAGGCCGGGCGCGGTGGCTCAAGCCTGTAATCCCAGCACTTTGGGAGGCCGAGGCGGGTGGATCGCGAGGTCAAGAGATCGAGACCATCCTGGTCAACATGGTGAAACCCCATCTCTACTAAAAATACAAAAAAATTAGCTGGGCATGGTGGCACATGCCTGTAATCCCAGCTACTCAGGAGGCTGAGACAGGAGAATTGCTTGAACCCAGGAGGCGGAGGTTGTGGTGAGCTGAGATCATGCCATTGCATTCCAGCCTGGGTAACAAGAGTGAAACTCCGTCTCAAAAAAAAAAAAACAAACAAAAAAACAATTAGCTGTTCTGCAAGAAGCTGGACGATACAGCCAGACTTTGTGCTGGGTCACAATAATCACTTGATGAGCCTTCTCAGGTGAAAGTATTTGGTTTAAATCTGACTTTGGGACTGAGCGCTGTAGCTCACACCTGTAATCCCAGCACTTTGGGAGGCTGAGGCAAGAGGAATGCTTGAAACCATGAGTTTGAGACAAAGATGGGCAACACAGTGAGGCTCTGTCTCCACAAAAAAATTCAAAAAATTAGCCAGGCATGGTGGTACATGTCTGTATTCCTAGCTACTCAGGAGGCTGAGGTAAGAGGATGGATCGCTTGAGCCCAGGAGGTAGAAGCTGTGGTGAACCATGATCATGCCATTGCACACCAGCCTGGGTGACAGAGCAAGACACTGTCTCAAAAAAAAAAAAAAAAAAACTTATTTACGAAATCCTAGGAAATATTTCTTTAGCAGAACTATCTTCCCTATGCTTTCTAAAATCCTACCAGTGAAAGTATTTTATTTGTGTTGGTTAGCAACATCTGATATGGTCCCTTCCAGCTCTAATCGACAAAAACAATTAGTGTCAATGAATGCTAACCTCTTCTCCCACTCCCATGATCACATTATTTAAGAGGTTTGCTAACCAATATCTACAATGTTTAAAGTCCCAGTTCCTATTGCTAAGTGTAGCAGACTTTCCATCGTATCATGCATCAGATATACTTGCCCTAATATTTAGATTGGGGACTGCATACTCAAGTGTTCAAGGTCAGGTAATATAAACGTCAGGTAAGGTAATGTTATATAATATAATTGACAGGCAATGTAAATGAGTATATGTATGACTTGTTTAAAACAATAGGGAATCTCAGAGACTATGTCAAATGCAGAGCATGTGACCTGCCTGTCTGTGGGGCAGCCACTATTTAGTTCCAGTATATTGTTCCTATGAAAAAATGTGAACCTTGGGCCAGGCGTGGTGGCTCACACCTGTAATCCAAGCACTTTGGAGGCCAAGGCGGGCGGATCACCTGAGGTCAGGAGTTCAAGACCAGCCTGACCAACATGGTGAAACCCCGTCTTAAAAAAAAAAAAAAAATGTGTGAACCTTTGGGTACAATGTACACTATTTGGGTGACAAGTATACTATAAGCCCAGACAGACTTCACCGTTTTACAATTCATCCACATAACCAAAAATCACTTAGGTACCCCTAAAGCTATTGAAATAAAAATAAATAATTTCTTTAAAAAAACGAAGCCAGATTTTGCCCAGATTTTCCAGTTTTTCAAGAGAGGATGCAAATCCATATTTTAATGTAAAATGTATCAATTTTTAAATATATTTGTGGCTAGAAGTGTCTTTTTTTTTTTTTTTTTTTTGACACACAGCCTCACTCTGTCACTTAGGTTGGAGGCAGTGGTGTGAACAAGGTGTACATCAGCCTCAGCCTCCTGAGCTCATGTGATCCTGCCACCTCAGCCTCCCAGGTCGCTGGGACTACAGGCATGCACCACCATGTCTAGCTAATTTTTAAATTTTTTGTAGAGATGGGGGTTCTCACTATGCTGCCAGGGCTGGTCTCGAACTTCTGGGCTCAAGGGATCCTCTCGCCTCAGCTCTTAAAGTGCTGAGATTACAGGCATGAGCCACCAGGCTCAGTCCCAAAAGTCTCTTTCTGGTTTTTACTTTTTAATTCTTTTTTTAATTTTTTTTTTCATTTATTTTCACACTTGGCGATCCAGAAGTAAAAAGTGTCTTTTTGATTGTTAACTTCTGACCTTAGTCTAAATGAATAGACAACACTGAGAAAATTGAAAGGGTCAAAGGGGAGGCCTGTTTTGGCCAGAAAACGTGAAGCAGTGTCAAAGGGAAATAAAAGGGAATAAGCACAGGATGGAAGGTGAGAAGTGAATTTCACCAACCTCGAAACCTCACATAGAGCGCCAATCTGCTTGTCTTCTAATCTGAGAGTAAAAAGGAAGAGACGTCAAGAAGTAAATAAAGGAGGAAGAAAACGAATCACCTGTTGAACACTTACTGGATGGCAGACACTGCATGGGATGCTTTCACGTGTTGTTTATTGAGATATGTCAATGAAAAAAGAAAGAGTTCTATGCATGGGAAAAAGAATAAAAGAAAATACATAGAAATCCTAACAGTAAGGGTGTTGGATTGTAAGAGCCCCTTTCTCCATTCTCCATAATTTTTAACCATAAATATAATATGGTATATTAACATTATAATACAGATTACACTGAAATTTAAGGTGGATTTCTGGGTGCAAGTTCATCCACCCTAGAGTATAGAAAGTAAACTACTCCAAGCCAAACTATACACTGAATATTTAAACAGAAAAAGAAAATGTAGCCATTTCAAGTGTATGTAATACGTAACTATGCAATTATCAACCCAGAAAGAGAACATGAAACAAGCTATACAGGTGATATGGACCATAGTTAACTAAACAAGAACAGAAATATGTGAAATTGTTAAGAATGTTATAAATCATTTTCTCTCCAATTTATAAACTACCAATGTGTTCTGTGTGTGTGGCCTAAATAACTATAAAATAGACTAATAGTCCTCTCCTGTATAAAAACGTTTAGACTTTTACCTATCTGTTACATACTTTTACACATTCACTGCATCATTTTCTTTCATATAGGTGTGTACAACTCTCATATTTAAATAATCTCCTTTTTTCTGTCTTTTTTGTCTTTTAGGGTATTTCAAAGATAAGTTATTATTATTTTTTTTAATAAATGAAGTATGTCATTATAGGCCACTCAGATTCTAAGCAATCTAAATCCCTGATTAATCTCTTCCAAATATGCGCATTTAGTTTTCATTCTACTCAAAAATGAAACCCTAACCTAAATACTTCAAGTGAAGTTTCAAGGGAAAAATACTGTTCAAAAACCTAGATAATGCATTCCTTTGTTGATGCTAAATATAGTCATCTCAAGATGACATACATTTTGACAATGATCAGTCTTACATGTCAAATTTTCAAAAATAGCACAAATTCCATTTTAAGGTGAGCAGGAAAAATTGCTATTCATTTCATTTCAATTCAAAATGGATTTTAAAGTGTGAATCTTCTATTAGAACTGGATTACACTGTAACTATAATAAGGAAAACTGGATTTAAAAAAATTTTGTTGTGGTTTTAGCTTAGAACTCTTTAAGGGAATTGTTGCAAATAAACTACATAATTGCATGCATTTTTCTTTAAATTGCTCCCCAGAAACATTCGTCAAAATATAAAATATCTGCAAAAATATGGTGCTAATAGCTGTAAGGAAGAAAAAAATTAAATAGCTACATTGGTTAATCAAAGTTTACTTACACAAATTATACCTCCCCCAAAAAACCTTTTTCTCATTTGATTAATTATGCATTTTTTCTTAACATTACCCCAAACCCAAAAGAATTCGAGACAAAGTTTTCTTACTGCAGCAATTTAATCTGTAAAAGGATAATATTAGCTGGGGAAATTGTGTGGTCCACTCAATAACGTGTGACTAAGATGGTATAAATACTTAAGTTTATTTAATCACATTACCTAAGACATAGTTATGTTGTGACTCGCAGGCCAATGGACCGTTGCTACATGATTTCATTAACAAAATTTAACGATAAATGATGTTCCCGTTTCTTTGGTCAGAGAACTAATTTCTTTATTATGGCTTATTTTCTCTACCCGTCTCTTTACCAAGGACACTTTGTTAGGACATATCTTTATGCTATTTTTACCTTGTTATCTCTCTGCCAACTTTGTTCACGTTGTGGCCTTTAATAACTATAAAATGAACATCTCTAAGTCACTGCAGTAACCAACTATAACCTCTCAACTTCGTCATTTTCTGTACAAATGTCAATGCTAATACATTTGTAGAACGTTTTAGAGTTAACAATAGTTGGAATGGTCTAGGGGAGTTTTCAAGAGGTGACTACAGTCTTCACTCACGTAAACTACGTAAACTTCCAGCTCTAGTTGCTCAACCCCTAGCATCCCACCCCGGGCAGAATCACGAAAAAAACCGTCTGGAGACATGAGTGCGGGGATATGAGGGGGACGGGGGAGTACGCTGTTAAATCATATTTCTCCCCATGTTCCATAGGGACCGATCAGAAAGGATTTCTTTTTTTTTTTTTAATTGACCACTGATGATCAACAGAAAGGATTTGTTAACTGGCTCTGCCGCAGAGACAGAGATCGCGGCGGGGGCGCGTTGGGGGCGGGAGAGGGAGGACGGCACTGAACTTCCCCCGTTAGGACTCTAAGGGCTCAGTCGAGTGACCGGCACCCACTCCGTTCACAGAGGGCACGGAGGGCTCCCTCCCTACAGTGGGGAACGCACCCGAAACTCAGCTGTCAGGGAGCAGGGAGCAGGGCAAGGGCTTCGCAACCAGAAGCCGGAGGCCGGCTGACGCTTTCAGACACCCAGGCAGCCCCTGGTCGGCACCCCGCCGAGCCCGCAGGACGCGGCTCCGGACGGGGCCAGCGCGGAGCCACAGCTGGATGGCGCCCGGCGCGCTACTGGACTGCAGCAGAGCACCGCCAGAAGCCGCGGACCCCGGCGCCTCTCGGCAGCCCCCGCCCCCGCCCTGGTCCCAGCCAGGGGACCCGACACCTCCGTCTCCACTCCCCCCAGCCCACGTTCCCCCAACTCTTCTCACCCTCCAGGAGCCAGTGACTGGCGAAGGTCCTCCTTTTGCGCGGAGAGACAGTGCGCGTCCTGCCCGGCTGTGGGTAGGGGTCTGGGAGCTCTGGCCGCTAACTCTTCTGCTCCAGCCGCTGGGAGTCCTCTGGCCGCCGCCGCCGTCTCCAGCAGCAAGTTTCCATAAAAGTCCTGGTGCGCAGCCTGCTCCCGCATTCCAGGCGGGCCCAGCGCCGGCTGCAGCTGTTCCAAAACACAAGGCCAGTTCCCCCAACCCCCCACCTCCGTTGTATCACCCGGAGGCGGGTGGAGAGTCGTGGAGAAAAGCAGGGGAGGGGGACCGTGGCTGCCAACTTTCCGCCAAAATGTGACTGTCTCCCGGCCCTAGGTGCGCAAGCTGACCCCCTAACCTTGGGCCCGCCTCCACCTCCAGCCAGGCCCGGGGAAGGAAGGCTGCCCCCACCGTGGGAAAGGAATGAGGCTGAAATGGGCTTCATTGCCCTGCTGGAGCTGGCTCCCCCTACCCGCAACCCATTTGCTCTGGGGCCCCCTTCTCTCAAATACTATACCCGTCCTAGTTTCCAGTCAAGAAGCCAAGCCACTACATTATCTTCTACTACCATAAGCATTGACCTTTGGCCAAGTTTTCCTTTATTACCAAGAGCGTGGGGCCGCAATCCGGGAACACTTCATCTGTCTATTGCTCTCCTTTTCTTAGCTCCAGTCTTTTAACTCTAAAAGGAGAGATGAAAAAGAAAGAAAAGAAAAGAAAGAGAAGAAGGCAGAGGAGAAGGAAAAAAGGAATATATTTGTATAAGTACAAATATATTTATATTCCACATTTTTCTTAATTGAAGGCAAACCATGTCTGGTCTTTCTAAAGTTTCATAGGGCATCTTTGAATATTAGGCACCCACAGATCTCTTTCAACTTGGACCGCCAGCCTGTCAAACCCAGCAGACAACATTAAAACCCAAAATGCACACTCGGAGCATTTTTTGGTGGAGGAGATCTTTAATTCTTCACTGCACTTGAAAAAAATATCTAAATGACATCCGTCTAAACAAGGGATAAAGGTAACCACATCCAACTTCAGGCCCTGAGCAGAGAGCAGTGCTCAGGTTATATTTAAGCGATGTTGAAAAGGAATTCTAGGCAGGGCGAGTTGGCTTACGGCTATAAACCCAGCACTTTTGGAGGCCGAGGCGGGTGGATCACGTGAGGGCAGGAGTTCAACACCAGCCTGGCCAACATGGCAAGAGCCAGTCTCTACTAAAAATACAAAAAATTAGCCGGCTGTGGTGGCACGCACCTGTAATCTCAGTTACTCGGGAGGCTGAGGCAGGAGAATCGCTTGAACCTAGGAGGCAGAGGTTGCAGTGAGCCGAGATCGCACCACTGCACTCTAGTCTGAGTGACAGAGTGAGACACTGTCTCCAAAAAAAAAAAAAAAAAAAGTCTAGGCACAGTGGCTGACGCCTGAAATCCCAGCACTTTGGGAGGCAGAGGTGGGTGGATCACCTCAGGTCAAGAGTTTGCAACCAGCCTGGCCAACATGATGAAACCCTGTCTCTACTTAAAATAGAAACAATTAGCCGGCCGTGGTGGTGGGTGCCTGCAATCCCAGCTACAAGGGAGGCTTAGGCAGGAGAATTGCTCGAACAGAGACCAGGGAGGCAGAGGTTGCAGTGAGTTGAGATCCAGCCACTGCACTCCAGCCTGGTCTACAGAGTGAGACTTCATCTCAAAGTAAGTAAGTAAATAAATAAATACATAAAATAAAAAACATAAAAGCCTTCTGCTCTTAAATATAACTCTGTTCCCTAGTCCCATCCCCACACTATTTACTCAGGATGGAAAGTCTTTTAAGGAGGTAAGCCATTCATTCCTCAATTATAGAAAAGTTCAAAACTGGTAATTCAAATTATTTAGATGTACCAAAATACAGATACTGATAAGTGGTCTTGGTAGTCTTGCTTGTGCCCGTGTTCTCTTTGATGCTGTCACCTTGGCTTTCTTCGGTTCATGAAAGTTTCTATGGGCATTCTGGCTGCAGGGCCTTTGCATGAGCTGTTCCCTGCCCGAACTCCTTTCTCCCACTTTCCCCTTCATCTAATTTCAACATATCCTCTAGATCTCTTCTGAAATGCTGCTTCCTCAGAGAAGGCTTCCTTGCACCCTACCTTTCTCCATACCTTGCACCTCACCTTTCATCCCACCTTTTTCCTCCCTATAAATATTTATTTATTTATTTATTTATTTATTTGGACACGGAGTCTCGCTCTGTTGCCCAGGCTGGAGTGCAGTGGTGTGATCTCACTTCACTGCAGTCTTTGCCTCCCAGGTTCAAACGATTCTTCTGCCTCAGTTTCCTGAGTAGCTGGGATTACAGGCATGCACCACCACACCTGGCTAATTTTTGTATTTTTAGTAGAGACGAGGTTTCACCATGTTGGTCAGGCTGGTCTTGAACTCTTGACTTCAAGTGATGCTCCACCTTGGCCTTGCAAAGTGCCGAGATTACAATTGTGAGCCACCATGCCTGGCTCCTGTACATATCAATTTATAATTACATATTTATTTCTGTGATTTAAAGAAGTGAGTTGGCCGGGCACGGTGGCTCACACCTATAATCCCAGCAAAAAATAGTAATACATAAATAAATGGGTAGACGCTTTCTAATTTTTTATATCCACCCAACAGACTCATCGATTAAACAGAGCTCTCCATTCTCTCTGTAGAACACTGATAGCTACTCACAGCATGCAAGGCCTGCTTATTTTCCCACCAATTCATCATTCATTCATTCATTTAACCAGGCATCCCCAAACTTTTTACACAGGGGGCCAGTTCACTGTCCCTCAGACCGTTGGAGGGCCGACACATACTGTGCTTCTCTCACTGACCACCAGTGAAAGAGGTGCCCCTTCCTGAAGTGCGGCGGGGGACCGGATAAATGGCCTCAGGGGGCCACATGCGGCCCGCGGGGCCGTAGTTTGGGGACGCCTGCATTTAACAGATACTCAGTTCTAGATGCTGAGGACACAGCAGTGACAAAACAAAAATCCCTGCCATTATGGAATATACATTCTAGTGAAAGAAGGCAGACAATAAGCAAAGAAATGAACTATGTAGTATCTAGTGACATGCCATATGGCAGTATGGATAAAACCAGAGCAGGAAGCTGGGTGCGGTGGCTCAAGCCTGTAATCCCAGCACTTTGGGAGGCCGAGGCGGGTGGATCACGAGGTCAAGAGATCGAGACCATCCTGGTCAACATGATGAAATCCCGTCTCTACTAAAAATACAAAAACAACAACAACAACAACAACAACAAAAACAACAAAAACATTAGCTGGGCATGGTGGCACGTGCCTGTAATCCCAGCTACTCAGGAGGTTGAGGCAGGAGAATTGCCTGAACCCAGGAGGCGGAGGTTGCAGTGAGCCGAGATCGCGCCATTGCACTCCAGCCTGGGTAACAAGAGCGAAGAAAAAAAAAAATTAGAGTAGGAAAGTAGAGAAAGCTGGGGCAGGCTGAGTGGCTGTTGTAATACTAAAGAGAGTGGCTAAGGAAAGCCTTATATGAGTAAAAGCTTGAGAAAAGTGAGGAGTAGGCTATGTAAATATGTGGGGATGCAAATATTTGGAGGAAGAGTGGTTCAGGGATAGATAGAAAGGCCCAGAGAAGGATTTTATCTGACATGTTCTAGGAAGAACCAGGCTTGTGTGGGTAAAGCTGAGTGAGGGGTGAAGTAATAGAAGGTGCAGTGAAGAGCAGGAGACAGACTGTGTAGGATTTTTTTTTTTTTTTTTTTTTTTTTTTGAGATGAAGTCTTGTTCTGTCGCCCAGGCTGGAGTGCAGCGGTGCGATCTCAGCTCACTGCAACCTCTGTCTCCCGGTTTAAGCAATTCTCCTGCCTCAGCCTGCTGAGTAGCTGGGATTATAGGTGCCCACTACCATGCCCAGCTAATGTTTGTATTTTTAGTGGAGATGGAGTTTTACCATATTGGCCAGGTTGGTCTCGAATTCCTGACATCAGGTGATCTGCCAACCTCAGCCTCCCAAAGTTTTGAGACTACAGGCATGAGCCACCATGCCTGGCCTTTTTATTTGTTTTTAAGAGACCCAGGCTGGAGTGCAGTGATGCAATCACAGCTTACTGCAGCCTCTAACTTCTGATTTCAAGCGATCCTCCTACCTCAGCTTCTCTGAGTAGCTGGGAATACAGGCATGCACCAACACACCTGGCTAGTATTTTACTTTTTATAGAAATAGGGTCTTATTATGTTGCCTAGGCTGGTCTCAAACTCCTGGGCTAAAGGATCCTCCCACTTCTGCCTCCCAAAGAGTAGGGATTACAGGCATGAGCCACTGTGCCCAGCCTCCTTTTGTACAGCATTGTAAAGATTTTGGCTTTTACTCTAACATGGGTGGCCTTTGGTAGGTTTTGAACAAAGTAGTGACATAATCTGACATGTTTACTCTAGCTTATGTGCAGCATATACACTAAATGAGGCAAGAGAAGAAGCAGGGAGATCAAATTAGGAGTCTTCCACAAGGATCAGAATGAGGAATGGGGATTTGCAGTGAGGACCACTGCATTCCAGCTTGGGTAACTGTGAAGGGACTGGTAGTGAGAAATGCCTAATAGGTTTTTTTTTCCTTGGTGCCTTTTTAGGTAGAACTGGTAGGATTTTGGTAACTGAATGTGAAGTGTGAGGAAATGTGGTTTTTGGTCTTTGATCTGGAAGAATGGAGTTGTAATTTACTCAGTTTAGGGAAGATTGTGGGAAGAGGAGGTTTAGGCAGGGGTGGTAAGGAGCTCAGTTTTGACATGCCAAGTTTGAGATTATAAAAATCCAAGATTTGCCAGTTTGTATAAGCATTACTTGTATACTTATTACAAATGATTGGGTTTATTCTATGTCAGCTGCATGGTTTTGAAATTATACAAAGTAAACATTTTACAAATGAAATTATAGGCCAGGTGCAGTGGCTCACACCTATAATCCCAGCACTTTGGGAGGCCAAGGTAGGCATATCACCTGAGGTCAGGAGTTCGAGACCAGCCTGGCCATCATGGCAAAAACCCGTCTCTACTAAAAACGCAAAAATTAGCTGGGCATGGTGGCACACAACTGTAATCCCAGCTACTCAGGAGGCTGAGGCAGGAGAATTGTTTGAACCCGGGAGGTTGAGACTGCAGTGAGCTGAGATCATGCCATTGCATTC